TATAAACTATTCTATAAATCCTTGGCTTTATTAAATTTCCCCCATGCCCTGAGGATAAATCTATTTCTACAGTTAATTCCCCTGTACTGTTCTGATAGCTGAAAGACTCATTAATAGAAAAGGAAGTATTCCATAATTATTTCCATGTAAATCTTAAAAGATAATAACACTTTACTTCCTCAGGAAACCTTTTTACTTTTCCTTTTGTCTTTATTAGTCCCATTGGCTTTTATTCATGAAACATTATGATCTACGTCCCTTGTTAGCAAAGGAAGTAAAACAAAAATAGTCTTCTATCTAATAGTTCAACATTCTTTGATGGCATATATGATTACATATATCAAATCATTTTATATCTGACAAATATGTACTGAAATAATAAATGATGCCACTATATTAGTGTTGAAATATGACATTTGGGGAAACTTGAAGACAATAAGAAGTGTCTCTCTACTAAATTTTTTTAAGTAACTCTTGTGAAGGCACATGCCTACAGAAAATTAGAAATCACACAGAAATATTGAGCATTGCTGTGTACCAGACTGGGCACTTTGGATGTTTGTTAAACAGTTGTGAAACGGAGTAACAGGGTCCCTACTCTCACAGAGTTGACAGACTCTGTGGGCAGTCAAACTAATAAACAGGCAATTACAACCTGGTGTGATAAATGCTGTTATATGGTGCAGTGGGTAAGACTATAAGAGGGATAATTTATCTCAGAATTAGGAAGTGGGTGGTAATGGGTAAGAAAGGATTTCCAAAGGAAATACATCAAACTTGAATCCTAGAGATTGAATTGAATATAAAATAGCAAAGGGGGGGGGGGATGTAGAGAATTGCTTGTGCAAAGAATTAGCAAAGCAAGCAAATATGCATTATGTCTTTGGAAATTGCCTGAGTTGATGCAGGGAACAACAAGGTAACAAATGGAATTAGAGAAGTATAGTGCCAGCGATTTTCAAGTTATAGTAAGGTGCTCATTACGTTCTGATTTGGGTTACTGTGCATATTTGATACAAAATATTCTGGCTTAATTATAGAGATTGAAGTTGGGAAAAATAAAGCAAAACAGTGACAGAGGTAGTTGGTCAGAGACTACAGAGTGACTGCTGAAATGGTAAACGGAAGGTGCAGTTTTGTTAATATTTAGAACATGGGCCATATAACCTAAGTGTGATAGAAAGGAAAAGAGAAATGTCAAAGATGATTACTTTATTGAGGTGGGAAGATGATAAAGAAGAGACAGTGAGTTAGCTGAGTGTAACTCTTAACTATCCATGAATTACCTCATGAATATGGAATAGTGCCAGTAGTTGTATAAATAAATGTTTGGTTTGGACATAGCTGGAAATTGAGTTGTAGCATTGCATTCTGTCTAATTCAGTAAATTGTGATAATATCTACCCCATAATATTGTCATGTTATTGGATGAGTAAAACCATAAGGTGATACAAGGTGCTACAAAGAAGGCAAATCTCTTTTTCATGTGTTGCTTTTATATTGTTAATGATGCTTAATCCATCTTTTATCTCAGTTTTCTGAAATAGAGGAGAACAGGTAACACTAACTGAATACTATTTGCTACATACTCTTCTATTGAATCATTTACTACATATGGTATAAGTACTAATATTGTCTCCATTTTGTAAATATAAAGACAGCCACAAAAAGGTTAAGCAGGTTGTCAAAGATGACACATTCAGTTTATTTGTCACATATATTTCATGAAAAGGACCCATTTCCGTACTTACCAGACTGTGCTTCTGCTTAACGTACTATTGAATTTGAATTGATGTATTTCATTAACTATATTCTTTTTTTAAATAAGAAAATTTCTATAAAATATTTTCCATTATTTTTTAATTAAATCGCAGTGACATACACTTTTACAAAGTTACTCATGATTGAACTTCAGACATATAATTTTCCAACACCCATCCCTTCACCTGTGTACTTTTCCCACCACCAATGGTCCCAGTTTCCCTTTCCACCCCCCTCACCCCCCCACCCCATCCCTGTCCCACTACCTGCCATTATGGCAGGCACTTTCCTTCCACCCATTGACCTGTCCTCCTGGCCCATGTTTACTCTTACTTTGGATATCAGTCTCATACTCTATATATTATAGTAATTATTATATTAATTATATTAATTACGGCTGGAGCGATAGCACAGTGGTAGGGCGTTCGCCTTACAAGCGGCCAACATGGCTGACCCGAGTTCGATTCCTCCGCCCCTCTCGGAGAGCCCGGCAAGCTACCGAGAGTATTAGATATGCCAGACACAGTAACAACAAAGTCTCCAATGGAGACGTTACTGGGCCCGCTCGAGCAAATCGACGATCAACGGGAGGGCCTTTACCTATATTAATTATATCCCGCAAGTGAATGCAGTCACTGACTGTATTCTTAAAGTTTCTAACCTTCAGTCCTGTTTTATTCTTTTCCATAACTCTATTACTTCTGAAACACCAGTTTAGAAAACAGAAAATTCCTCTGCAGTTGTCACTGTCACTGTCCTCCCGTTGTTCATGGATTTGCTCGAGCTGGCCCAGTAACGTCTCCATTGGAGACTTTGTTTTTACTGTGTTTGGCATATCGAATACGTCACGGGGAGCTTGCCAGGCTCTGCCGTGCGGGCAGGATCTTCTTGGTAGCTTGCCGGGCTCTCCGAGAGGGGCGGAGGAATCGAACTCGGTTCGGCCATGTTGGCTGCGTGCAAGGCAAACGCCCTACTGCTGTGCTATTCTCCTCTGCAGCTAATAAAAAAAAAAATCTGGGGGGGTGGGGGAGGGGGCAAAAAAAATCTGTTTTATCTCTAAATGTCAAATCTATTGTGATTGACTCATATATAAAATATGAACATACATTTCCATGTTAGGTTTATTACTTTGATGTAATTGACACTAAATTTGAAAGCAGCTTAAAATTTTCTTATTCAGTCACATATCACATGTTTTCATTCATCTTACATCCACCTTCTTATTTTAAGATTTCTACAATTTGAGTCATAGATATATCCCTCAATCAATTACAACTCAGTATTTGTAGTTTTTCCTAGGAGCCTTTATTTTACCACGGTTTCTCTAGCATTATAAAGCTACCTCCCACATGTGAAGTACATCATACATATTAAGGGGTGCATGAATAAATTATTATCAGAAATTTACAATTATCATTATTGAATTTCTTTGTATTTCTGCAAATAAAAGAAAAAAGTTCTTAGTTTAAAATATGATGAGTTTGTGAAAGAGGAATATAGGAAAATAACACAGGAAACGTTTGGAGATTGGGGGAAAGAAAAGAATTGATATGCAGAATTCCAAAAATATCTGAAAATTTGAACAAGGAGGATAAGACTCCATTCTCCCTGCCCTGCTCAAGCAGTCAGGTTAGAGTCAGATCTCAAGTTTGGATAAAGAATTTCGTTTGAGACCATACTTAAAATATATTTATTGTGAATCAATGAAGTAACAGTTCTTCAATGTATGATCAATTTGGAGTCAAAGTCAAATATCATCATGGAACAATTAGAATTTTATGCTATGTCTATCAAAGAAAATTGTAGTTCTGTATTAGACCTATCAAGGTATGTGCATGTTTTCTTTACTTTGTCTTTTGAATCATCCTGACAGCACTTTATAAACAAACCAGTAACAAAAGTTATACTTCTAACACTTAATGGCATCATTAAAATAAAATTAATTTATTAATTTAAAAGCAAAAGAGTCATTTTGACAATTCAGTCTAAAATAGTTTATTTAAATCTTGTCTCTGAGTCCAAACTGAAAACAGCTCACATGTTATTTCAAACACAAACTTTGCATTTGTGGTGGATATTTAGAGTTGTATTCTTTCAGTTAAGGCATTATAAAACCTGATGATGATGATAAATTTGTGATTGCAAACTTAGTGTGGACATTGTATCTCTAGGGGTCTGATTATGTAGGAGTTGTCATTTGCTGTCCTGTGAATTGTCATCAAAGCTGAGTCTTTCACAGGTCCTACAGTTTGTATTTCAGAAAATGTGCTTCCCCAACTTTAATTATCTCCAAAGTATTCCATTGTACATGAAGTACTGAAAAGAATAAGCATTTTGTTTTCAGTTTTCGTACTGTGATGTAAATTGGGATTATGTCTAGTATAATGTATAAATGCCATGGACTTTTAAACAAAGGAGGGAACTGTCTTTTCTATTTACATACACACCTTTTATATACAGAATTTTCTATTTATTTTTTCCACTTTAGATTTAAAAAATTACCAACAAGTCATAATTAAATTATACATTTGCAGAGACAGAAGCCAGGATTTTTAGTAGCCTAGATCGGTAATCATGTGAGTTTGACTTGTGATGATTGAAAATTGGAATGGGGAAATCGTAAGCCTGAAAATAAGAAATGAGCTTAAGACTGACTTTTAAAATTAAATATAAATGTGTTCCAAGCTCATGGAAATAAGTATCACTTTTGAGCTAGACAGCCTATTTTTTGCAGAGACTAGAAAATTAGACAGGTTGTAGAGAGTCATCATTCTTTTTTTTTTTTTCCTACAAAAAACTCTTTCTTCGCATCAGCATTTCAGTCAGTTTCCCCCACCCTGCCTAATAATTTTTTTTGTAGGAAATTTCAACACAGAATCCTGATAGGAAAGTTTCTCCTAAGTATTTTACAACTAAGGTAGTTTCTTCAAAATTGGCTAAGATTGTTTTATTACATTAGAGGAAGATCTTTGACCTGGAAATCATAAAAATGTGATTATGGCTATGAAAATCATTTTTTGAGAGATTAGTATTGTTAGATTACTTAATTAAGAATTGTGCTATAGTTAAATCTCTTTGGAATATTCTAAAATGAGATTCTTCATCTTTTTGCATGCCTTTCTCTTTGAATTAATGCAATTCCAACGAATGGAAAACGGTTAATTGAATTGAGAAATAAATGTGTTTACTGGTAATTGCTTAGCCTTTGAATTGTAATTACAATTTTATATTCTTTTTAGGATTATTTAACTATTCATAAGTATGGCAATGCAGCTAGAAATGATCTCTGGAATACACTCTCAGAGGTAAAGTATTGAAACCTCAAATGCCAGTATTTTCTTAATTATTTGAATTGCACTTATAAAATGTTCCATAATATTTCTTCATAGTTTATTACTTTCTAATACTATCCTTTTCTTCATTTTTTTGTATTTTGAATGTAATAGGGTATAAAATTATTTAAACCATAGTTAAAGGTAATACACATCTTACCTACTTGTGAACATTTCGATAATTTTGAAATGCATTTTTAATATGATATCAGACATTCATGTTAAAGACAGAAATATTTACATCTTGAATTGTTTCAGATAGATACCCAGGAAAGAATTAATGATAATGCAAGTACTTGCTTTAACAATAAAATGTATTTTATCTCCCATAATATAAAATCTTGAATGTTAAGATAGCTTTATTTTCATATATATTCATGAAGGCTAACTTAAGAAAAGGAGATTAATTCTACTAACACATTATATTAGCTTCAATGATTTTAAATGTTTTCACATTTAGGTAAATCATAGAGGTAAAAATGAAAATAGTTTACTACTAATTATGTTTATAATTCATGTTTACAAAACTAATCTATGCAATTTTGGCTATAAAGGCTTTAAAAAGGAATGGAAAATATGTAAATATACAAGAAGTAATGGATCAGTGGACACTCCAGATGGGTTATCCTGTTATCACCATCTTGGCAAATACAACAGCAGAAAATAGAATAATAATTACGCAACAGCATTTTATTTATGACATTAGTGGTAAAACTAAATCACTTACACTTCAAAATAACAGGTAAGCACTCATTTATAAGATTAAAAATGTGTTCATTCATATTTAATTTTGTATTTGTAATATTTTAAGAGACTCAGCCTTTACCTTGCACGCAGCCAACCCAGGTTCAATTCCTCTGTCCCTCTCGGAGAGCCCGGCAAGCTACTGGGAGTATCCCACCCACATGGCAGAGCCTGGCAAGCTCCCCATGGCTTCTTTGAAATGCCAAAAACAGTAACAACAAGTCTCACAATGGAGATGTTACTGGTGCCCGCTTGAGCAAATCAATGAACAATGGGATGACAGTGCTACAATATTTTAAGATATACTAATCACACAGTTCTGACATATCTTAATCAATGGTTTTCATTTCCTTTGTTTCATTTTGATTGCTTGTTCACTCCCATTTCCAGATAATTTAAACATTAGGGTGATTGACCACCAGTTATTCTGTTTAGAATAATAGAACTTAAATTACCCTGTGATCTTTTGAAACACATTGGATCACTGTGAATTACAGAGTTACAAAATTAATCGTGACTGATTTTCAGGAACACAACAAGTTTCTTTCCCTCCACTCTTGTCCCCAGTATTGTGACTGTTTTTTATCTTATAAAACTGAAATAAATTTGAGAAGATTAAAATACATTGAAGTAAATCAAATGTAATCAATTAAAATATACAGTTCAAATGTAATAAAATTAAAATGTCATACAATTAATATCGATCATATTAAAAATAAAATAAAATTATTTTTAATATAAGAAGAGAGACAGATAATCCAGAAAGACAAAAGCAATCAAAGGAATACCATCTCAAACATATTTTAGTGGTTTAAAAGTCAACAATCGTTTCAAAAAATCTTCACATTCCCTTTTTTGAAATGATAACAGATAAACTACATAGATTTGTTGTTTTTCAACTTAACTTTTTTTTTTTATTAAAACTCCTTTCATTGTTGCTGTTTGTTTGGGGACCACACCTGCATTGCTAGGGCTTACTCTTGGCTCTGGGCTCATGGTCATTCCTGGCAAGCTCAGAAGACCATATTGGATTCCAGGGAGGGAATCTGAGTTGGATATATGAAAGCAAGCATCCTACCTATTATGCTATCAGTCCAGCCCCTTTATGAAACTCTTAATTACTGAAAATTCCACTTTTCTTTTTTATTCACGCCTTCTTACTGTGTGTGTATTATTAAGAAGTAGGCTGAGGAAAGATAGTAATCAGTCATTTCTTCCTTGCTGACATGCCATATATATTATACATAATATATATAATCACCAAATATATTATATATGATATATATATCACAAATTTCCCTGTCCTATCCAATTTTTTGGACTAGCAGCAGCAGTACACTTCCCACTCCATCAAGGGTTGACTCAGTAATGCTTTCTTCACCTAGCCTATATTCCCCCAGCTGCTCACTGCTGCTTCTGATGGTTCGGTCTGGTACCAGGCATCCCCTCTGGCCTTGCTAGGAAGTACATAAAAACCACTTGACTGTGGAAAAGTTACAGTGATTCAAGCCATGCTTTTGAGAATGATCAGTCTGACACAGCATCACTGATGCAGAAAAACATAAAGGACAGGCAGATGACAGAACACATTTTGAACAAAAATACTGTCAACCTATAACATGTATCCAAAGTATTGGCCTTGACTCTTTAAAGAATAATCTGACTCTTTTAAAACAGAAATTCCCCCAGCTGTATAAATATATGTAGCATCTATGGAACTTTACTTTTGTTGAGTTAGAAAATCATTTAAGTCATGTTGAACTCTGAAACTTGGCATATAAAATATTAAAGTAACATAATGTGCGGTGTCTCACTACTCTTAAACATTTTCAATTCTGAAACAATAGAGCTTGCAGCTGGGAACTTATTTGACTTAGTATTTTATTTAATACACAATAGCATTATGGTCAAAGCCTCAATAGCAATTTTATTGTCTTTTTGCATACTGCCTCCCTAGGACATTATTATATGATGCAAACTACTAAATCATTCCCTGGTGGTCTAGTGGTTAGGATTCGGCACTCTGACCACCACGGCCTGGGTTCGATTCCCAGTCAGGGAACATAAATTTTCTACTGGAGCTATAGCACTGTGGGTAGGGAGTTTGCCTTGCACGTGGCTGACCAGGCTGACCCGAGTTCAATTCCTCCCTTCCTCTTCAAGAGCCTGGTAAGCTACCGAGACTATCTTGCTTACACGGAAAAGCCTGGCAAGCTATCTGTGATGTATTTGATATGCCAAACACAGTAACAACAAGTCTCACAATAGAGACGTTACTGGTCCAGTTCAAGTGAATAGATGAACAATGGGAGGAGTGTGACAGTGACAGTGTATATATATTATAATGTTGCTATCATGAACCCTGTAGTGTGCAAGGGTTTTTCCTAATTCCATAAAGGTGCAATACAGTTCTAGGGATCAATCCAGGGTTCCTGCATGCAAGATGCCCTTTACCATATACAATCTCTTCAGCACCTCAAGTATCTTTTGTAAACTTAACCTATCAAGTTTTTAAATTATTTATTTTATTTTATTAGTATTAAGTTTTGCTTTGTGGGTCAAACCCAGCGATACACAGGGGTTATTCCTGGCTCTACACAGGGAATTACTCCTGACGGTGCACAGGGGACCATATGGGATGCTGGGAATTGAACACGGATTGGTTACATGCAGGGCAAACGCCCTACCCGCTGTGCTATCTCTCCAGCCCCTTACATTTCTTTAAAGTATATTCATACACAGATATTTTTTTCAGTAAATAATTTGCATGTTTTATACTTTCAGGTTATAATCATTAAACAGCACAATGTGTTTCTTTAATTTAAATGTAAGATTTATATAAAGGTCAAATGTAAATTATTTGGAAAGTTATGAAAATGATTATTCATAGTATTAAATTTCAGAAAAGAAAACAACTCTCAAATATACTTGGTCATTTGCAATATTTTGTTTTTGTAACAATATATAGACTTTGATTATGTTTATAAATATGCATATGTACAAATATAACAATAAAATGGAGTATAAATCTTCTTTGGAGAAATTAAAATGTCTTATTTTTAAAATCTTATAAAATATTCCAGTGTTTCTTTCCAAATATCTTATATAAACAACATAGAGTTGTTTATATGAATCTTGCTATACTAACAGACTTTTGAGAAAGTTCTGAAAATTCAAATTTTAATCATAATTTGAATTTAATAAGTATAAATTATGTTTCTATTGAAAGAATTATTTTGCTAATATTAGAGTAAATAAAATTTCAAAAACGTTTTATGTTTCTGCTAGAAAAAATTTACCTGTTTTTGAAGATTTCTAATTATCAACAATGTTTTTTAAGTTTTTGCCTTTAACCAGTTGATGCTTCACTTTATTGTTTATTAATACATGATTTTATTGATACATTACTGTGAATTGACCCAACACAGCATAAAGACATTTGCCATAAAAGTCAAGTTTATAATCTTTGTTACACCTGTAGATTTATTTGGTTCCTCTTATTTTAATTCAGTTCAGTTTTATTCAACTGTAACTTATAGTGTACCTACCTTTTCAGGCTTTTGAAAGTCCTTAGATACAAAAAAATGACTCATCATTTGAAAATCATGTAAGTGTCAGGCAGTATTATCTCAACTAATATTTTCAATTGATAAAAAAACTCAGTCTTTTTATAGAGCATCTATTAAAGAAATAAATCAGTTCTTTGTGCCTTCCTCAGAGAAATTTGTTATTGAATATTTATGGCAAAGGCATACTTTATGTTAACTACCAGGAAGTATTTGTTAAAGAGCTTATAGAAGTTAGTTTCATTGACTTCTACTTTGAGTATAGTAGATATTTGACTGCTACACTTTATTTCCTGATAAACTGTGTAGAACCCATTGCCAGATAGTATAATGTCTGTACATAATTGGTACTAAAAAATGTTTTTATGATTAATACAGGACATTGTTTTAAGATTGAAAATAAGCTACCGAGAGTATAGAGCCCTCACAGCAAAGCTTGGCAAGCTAGCCATATTCAATATGCCAAAACCAGTAACAACAAGTCTCACAATAGACATGTTACTGGTGCCCGCTCGAGCAAATAGATGAATAACTGGAGGACAGTGCTACAGTACTATCAAAAGTATACATGAAATATGAATTTCTTCCATTTGGACTTTATTTTATTATTAATGAATTCTATTCATTGTGTATGTTATGTGAAATGGCAAAATATAGGATGGTAGAATAATAAAAAATAACTCATTATAAATTTAAGAGATTTCCTAACTTCCCAAATTCTCTTTTTTTAAATTTTTATTAGTGAGACACCATGAGGTACAGTTGTAGACGTACAAATTTTTGTGCTTGGGTTTCAGTTATACAATGATCAAATATCCATCCCTAACTTCCCAAATTCTGAGAGTCAGATTTATTGGTAGTCATATAGCCTGGTAAATTGCCCTTATTATTATTTTTTAAAATGTTGTTATTTGTCATTAAGTTCACAGAGTATTTCTTCTTTATATTTTTAAGATTAAAAAAACATTCCATGTGCCAAATATCAACAACCCAATAACCCTGTTTTTAATATTGTGATGTTTGGCCAAAATATAAGACTTTATTTTAGGGGGAAGATTTACAGCCATTTGCCTTGCATAAGATCTATCCCAGTTCAATCCCCAGTACCATATTCTTTTCCTTTAGCACCTCCTGGAGTGATTTCTGAACAAAGAGCCAGGAGCCAGTCTGAGAACTGTAAGATATGGTTAAAACAAACAAACAAAAAGAAACAGAGTAAAATTGTTGAAATTATTAAGACCATACAGTTTCTCTCTATGACTATTCATTTGATATTAAAATGGTATTGCCACAGAGATCGTACAGGGATTAATATACTTACCATGGATGCTTCTGATTTCGGTTTAGTTTCTAACACCATATATGGTTCTCTGAAGGCCAGTAATGATCTCTGAATGAATGATCACAGTCAGAAATAAGTTCTAAGCACTGCTGAGTATGGACCGACGTCACCCCCAAAGGAAAACCCTAAAATAATATTAATTCATGTGCAAATATAAGTCTCAAGTTTTATACTTTAATATCTGAGGCTGATGACTGATTCATGCATATTGGTTAAAGATTTCACATGTTAATTTGGAATTTTCATTTCAGAAAACAGAAGGATGTTTTTCATAGTGTTATTGAATTAATCTGAATGAGGAGGATTTGCTTAGAATTAACTTTGTTTATGCTCTGCTGAATAACTTTATGCATGCTGCATTAACTTTTCTGTAAAATGTAATAATGGTTTTTAAAAGAAGAGTAGGCAAGTAAGAATCATGTGACAGAAATGCTTGAAACTATTGAAATGTATATTAGTCTGGTTTAGAAACAGTAATTGTGAGATTTAATAAACAAAAAGTTGGCTCAGATTTATAGATCTCAGCTACTCATTTTTCCTAATAGAAGTGTCAAGTTAGCTTTCCTCTTTTTGTTGCATGTTTGTTTCTTTTGCAAGATTGAAACTAAAACTCTTTTTTTTTTTATGTAGGAGTATTTCTATGAAACTAAAACACTTAAGAGGCCAAATGTACTGACATTGAAAGAGCGATTTCTTCTTGACTTATTTCTTATGTTGCAACTGAGAATTTTTTTTTCAGTTCTGCTATAAAAATGATAAAAATGCATAGGAAGAAGTATTTGTTTGTTTGATTATAACTGCTTTTATTCTCAACGCTGCTCTTTTATTTTTCAGTTACCTGTGGCAGATTCCATTAACTGTTGTGGTAGGAAATAGAAGCCATGTGTCTTCAGAAGCTATTATTTGGGTGTCTAACAAATCAGGTAAAATATATATTCACTCTGAGGAACTATTTAATTTCAGGTAATTGTTTAGCTACTAAACTTTTAGGTTTGGTTGTATAAAAATGTGAATAAAGGAAAATTAGAAAGAAAATATAGAGGAATGATAATCATGAAAGTAGGTCTGATAGAGTATGATAGCCTAATTTCAGTCTGCCTACATAATTATTTAATTGATTTGTTTGATAATAAAGGGAAAATTTAAAATAAGTTTTTGTAGTACTAATTTTAGCTATTGTAAACAACATCATTTTATAATTACAAATGTAATTAAGATATGATTATAGCTCCCAATAGAATAATATTCCAAAGATTGAAATGCAGACCACATTTTTATTTCATTTTCCTGCTCTCTTCTTCTTACCAGCTCTTGATGAGTGAGGCAATATTCTCTATAAAATTAGATAATTATGGGAGACAAATGGAGGATTTTTAGGTGTTCTTAATTATCCCTTATGTAGAGTCAGTCCTCACAGAGAAGAAAAGATGAGATTGCATTTTATTTCTAAATACCATAAGAAAGTGACTTATTTCAGTTCACTATCAGAAAAACTTTCTTGAATCCAATATAATCTTTCATGCTAGAATGTGAAACATATTCCTTTTATTTCTGTTTTCTATTGAACTGAAAAAAAAATGATCATTTTTGTAAGTTTGCATTTACATGGTCAATGTCTCCAAACTATATTTTCCTTAACTTTTTTTATGTGTTGCTAATTGATATCCTTCTATATTGTAAGTACTTTAAATTTCCAAAATCTATTTTTTAAGTAGAGAAAAAAATACAGTATTTTCACCTTGGTCCTGCTAAAATAAGGGATATTTAACAATTTAAAATATGTACATAATAAATATAGGACAAAGATTTTATAATAGAATATTATGTGCTTTAGCAGAAATATAAATCTATTTGCACTGAGGTATTAAAATTTTCTTTTTATTTTAAACACATAATCACTGTCACTGTCACTGTCCTCCCATTGTTTGATTTGCTCCGATTTACTTGAGCGGGTCTAAGTAACATCTCCCTTGTGAGACTTGTTGTTACAGTGTTTGGCATATCGAATAAATCACGGAGAGCTTGCCACTCTTTTCCCTGCGGGCGAGATACTCTCGGTAGCTTGCCGGGCTCTCTGAGAGGGGTGGAGGAATCGAACTCGGGTCAGCCATGATGGCTGCGTGCAAGGCAAATACCCTACTTACTGTGCTATCGCTCCAGCCCAACACATAATTATATATTATAAAAATATTTTTAATTTTGCATTCATTGTGTAGAAAACATACATAATATAGAGAAATATTAAAATAAATAAAAATTTATGGTATTTTTAAAAATCTTATTATAATCTATTTCTTTCATTATTTAAATATTGATACCCTATTCTGACTTTATTTAATTTTGTCTCTATACTTTCAACTTCATGTTTTTAATTTATTTATATACATAATTTCTTGCTAAATGATGAGTAAAATCTGTGAATTGTTAGTCAAATGAGTCAACAAGCATGTAGACTGAGTTCTGTCCTATGTTGAACTGCTTGAATGATGAAACTGAACAGTCTTAAGGAGTCTAACCTTTCTCTTGAAAAGGTAAAGAGAAATGGGAGAATTAGAAAAGGACAGTGGAACTGACCAAACATGAGGAATAGATCAAATCTTCTCTTTTTTGACAGTGCAGGGATTCAAGGAAATTCTAATTCCTTTCCCAGGTTTATTTCCTCTACTTCCCTCATTATTTCCTTGTTATTATTGAAGATATCTCCTTACACTAAAGAATTAATATCGTGTCACCACTTTTCATGACCAATAACTACAGGTTTTATTTGAGAAATTCTTAATTTATATAATCTAATCATTATGAATTCTAAGTACAGCATATTCCAGTCTTACCTCAAATTTGTAAAATGTTCAACCTATGGAGTATAATGTTATTTCCCTGTAAATCATTCCATATATTTTTAATTAGTATGCCGTTGTCCCATTTGGAATTTTAAAGCTATTTCTGAGAATTCCCATTTCAAGTAAATGTTTCCTAAAAACTTGTGAAATGCACAAACATGGAAAACTTCTAAGAAGAATCTTAAAGAAAGAAAACCTTTCTATTTTGCCTGTTCAGTCTCACTTACTGGATTATTTTGTCTCGAGGCCCATCTTTCTTGTCACAGGAAGGAAATAAAGATTATAAAAGAGAAAAAGCACAATTTAGATATTAGGGGGAAAGCTGACTTCTTTGTTTTGTTTGTTTTTTGCTTTTTGGGTCACACCCGGCTATGCACAGGGGTTACTCCTGGCTCTGCACTCAGGAATTACTCCTGGTGGTGCTCAGGGGACCATATGGGATGCTGGGAATCGAACCCAGGTCAGCAGTGTGTAAGGCAAATGCCCTACTCACTGTGCTATCGCTCAAGCCTCTGAATTCTTTTTTATAAATATATTCAAATAATAATCAAGAAAACATTTTACAAAAACTTTTTCTTCATAAAAAACTGTTTTATCCTATTCTTATTAGAAAATGAAAAAAATACACCTTTTATTTGTAATGGTGAGGTCAATGTTTTTAATAATTTTTCACTATCAGAATATATATTTGATTTGACAAGATACTTTATAAAAACATTGATAAAAATGCAATGTATGCATTTGATTTCAAATGTCACATGTTCTAAACGTCCTAACTTATTAAACATTTAAATAAATACCTAATTAATTTCAAGATAAAGAATAAATCATTTTAACATAAAAATTTTTGAAACCAAAGTTTGTTATTGAAAGTAAACAAAGTGATTTATATATTATGTTTTTACTTAAAGATACTAATGAACAGAAACTTTAAAGTATGGGAGTTCACATGTTAGCTGAAACTTCAACTTAGTTAAGGAAATACATTTAATTTCTAGTGTTAAGAAAACACTGCAAACAAAGGAGCAATTTATTGTGAAAATTTTAAGTTAAAATTAATAACAACAAAATATTGTAGCTCTTTACTCCAGCATCACTTTATATGAAACTCAAAAGTCTTTAAAATATTATTAATCTCCATGGCGAAAATGAGGACATTAAGGTTTGACAAATTTAGCTTGCTGGACCAAAGTATCTTTTTTTTTTTTAATTTTTTTGAGGTTAGAAAACTTTTTTTTTGTTCGTTTTGTTTAATCATTTTTTTTATTAGTGAAACACCATGAAGTACATTTATAGACTTAGAAATTTTTGTGCTTGGGTTTCAGTTATACAATGATCAAGTACCCATCCCTCCATCAGTGCCCATCCTCCCCCACCACGGGTCCTAGCATCCCTCTCCCCCCTCCCCCCCCCCCCCCCCCGTCCCACCCTGCCGCTGTGGCAGGGCATTCCCCATTGTTCTCTCTCTCTTCTTTTGGGTACTGTGTTTTGCCAGAGAGGCATTGAGTGGCAATCATGTTTGGTCTATAGACTACTTTTAGCATGTCTCTCCCACCCTGGGAGGGTCTTCACAACACCCTTTATTTGGTGCTCTCTTCTCTATCTGAGCTTCCTTTTCACCTAGCACATGTGGCTGGCCTTCAAGTCATGGAGCAAAATTCCTGGTACTAATCTGAGCCATTCCTGGGTGTTAGTCTCCCGTTTTGTTGCTTTATGTTCCCCAGATGAATGCAATCTTTCTGTGTCTATCCCGCTCTTTCTGACTCATTTCGCTTAACATGATACTTTCCATGTAGTACCACTTGTAAGTAAATTTCATAACTTCATCTTTTCTAACAGCTACACAGTACTCCATTGTGTAAATGTACCAAAGTTTCTTTAACCAGTCATCTGTTCTCGGGCACTCAGGTTTTTTTCCAGATTCTGGCTATTATAAAGAGTGCTGCAATGAACAAACAATTGCAGATGTCACTTCGACTATACCTTTTTGCCTCTCTGGGATATATTCCCAGGAGTGCTATAGCTGGGTCAAATGGGAGATCAAATTCTAATTTTTTGAGAATCGTCCATACTGTTTTCCAAAAGGGTTGGACCAGCCTGCATTCCCACCAGCAGTGAAGGAGGGGACCAAAGTATCTTTGAAGCTTGTTTTTTGTTTTGTTTTGTTTTGTTTTAGTCTTTTTCTTTTTGGTGATTTTTTTGTTTTTGTTTTGTTTTCACTCACAGCCTAAAGTTCTGGGGCCATGGCCTATTTCAGTCCTAGATGTTGTTCCAGATATTTCTCTGGGACCTTACAGTGCCTGGGATGAAAATCGGGATCCCTATATGCAAAATTTATAACTCCAATCCCACTGAATGACTTTCGTTACTCATTAGATTTCTTTTCCAAATTAATTTTCTCTACTTGTTTTATGACTAGACACACATATTGGTAGCTAACTATTGGATTGTCCACATACTGGTTTTGTTATGTTTTTTTTTTATAGCATCTACAAAGCATAATCTAACTTAAAGTCAACTGAGAAAATCAAGCCACCTTATAACTTGTTTCTTCAGATTGTTATCTTGTTGTGCTGGTTGGCAATTTTTTATTTTGTTTTGTCTTCTTTGTTTTGTTTTGTATTGTTTGGCTTTTTGGGTCACACCCAGCAATGCACACGGGTTACTCGTGGCTTTGCATCCAGGAATTACTCCTGGCGGTGCTCAGGGGACCATATGGTATGTTGGGAATCAAACCCGGGTCAGCTGCGTGCAAGGCAAACACCCTACCCACTGTACTGTCGCTCCAGCCCTGGCAATTTTTCGGTTTGTTTCATTTTGTTTTTTAACCACATCCAATATCGCTCAGGATTTACTCCTACTCCTGGCTCTGTGCTCAGAGAAGCATGCTGTGCCAGTGGTCAAAACAGTGTTGATCACATGTAAACCAAGTGCCTTAATCCCTGTACTATATCTCTGGCCCTTGGTTATCATTTTTATTTCAAAATCTGAATGTTCTATAACTATACAAATTTGAAAAAAGGCATAATTTTAATTATATTTTATTCCCAAAGAAGGATAGACATTTAAACACAAAATCTTATAAAATTGCAACTTTTCATGCCTTGATACAGTCTAAAGCTTCTGGCATTTTGAATACATTCAAATATAATTTTTAATTTACAATACTAATGCTTTAAATATAATGTCCATACTTTTTATTATGGTACTCATCAGATACGGTACCTCATTAGGACATTGGAAAAGATCTCTTTAAAATTCATGTCTTGCCTGTATTAATCCCTGCACTAATTTTTGATATATAATTAACTAGTATAAAAAAGATATTTAAAAATCGATTGCAAACTCTTTTAGGAATCATTTCTCCAAAGAGCTCATGATCCAAAAATCTTCATGATAGTAATAACCTTCAGGTTTTAGTCATCAACTTAATAACTGCATTCTTGAAAGCACAAGATGTCTGTCTTTCCTATTGTTATCAGACATGGAAGGTATAGGGATTTTTTTCTATTTTAGTTTGTCTCTATCATACCTTTCATACCTGAAATGAGTTCATAAACTAGAGTCGGCAAAGGGGTGGAGTTTGAGGCCCAAATCTGATTTGGGACAGTGATGTCAACACCTCCAGGACTACCAGGTTTAGCTTTTGAGGACTAAACATTTCTGGCAAATGCCACAACACAGCGTGGAAAATGAACTTGTCATACCTCATTTGCCAGGGTGAGTATTACTAGGAGAGGACCTGGACTTCTAGGCACTGCTGGGGAGACTTAATCCTTGTCCCCTCCCCCCAAATTAAAGATGTCAAAAAAAACTAGAAAATTGAAAATGCTAGAGTTGAGTGCATAACCTAAAGTTAACACCTAAATAAAATTTAAACAGACTTAATTAAAAATAAATGTGGGCAGAGATACAGTTCAGTAGTTGAGCACTTGCCTTGCATATCAGTGGCCTGGGTTTGATCCCCATTATTACCACACACATACACAAAATAGATTAAATATCATAATAACCTACAGTCATTTCAAAACTGTAAAAATGTAGATTATGGATATTAATTTCAATATTAGCATGATACTCTAATATAATGTACATATTTTTTCAAAATGGAGGAAGTGATCAAGCTTGTTTTTAACCAATGTTGATTGTTGATATAGCGTCTAATTTTACTTATCATTACTCACTCCAGTCCCATCCATATTATTGAACAAATCAAGATTTTTTTTCCACTTATGGTTTAGTAGTACTCTATTGTAATATCCTAACATTTTCTTTATCCAGTCATCCATTGTTGGGAACCTATCTTGGCTAATGTGAATAGTGCTAAAATGCTAAGTGGGATAAATAAGGGAGAGAAAGATAAATGTATGGTCTTACTTATATGTGATAGAGAACAAATCAAGAATACAGACAAGTGAAAAAAACTGGTGAAGTCAGAGAGCCATTGTTGCTGAGGAGAGAAGGAGAAAGTAGAAGTAGTCCAATGGACTGTGATTATGGTGGAGGAGCAGTAAGAGTTTCACTGATAAGCCTGAAACCTAGTGAATTGCACTTTGAAGTGTTCTGAAAATATATCCCCAAAACATATGAAATAGGTTAAACATGTCTCTTCAATAAAATAATAATAACATAGTAATTATATTGGAGCAATAGCACAGCGGTTGGAGAGATAGCACAGCTGTAGGGCATTTGTCTTGCGCGCAGCCAGCCCAGCAGATCCGGATTCGATTTCTTCACCCCTCTCGGAGAGCCCGACAAGGTACTGAGATATCTCACCTGTACAGCAAAGCCTGGCAAACTACCCGTGAGGTATTCAATATGCCAAACACAGTAGCAACAAGTCTCAAAATGGAGACGTTACTGGGTCTGCTTGAGCAAATCGATGAACAACGGGAGGACAGTGACAACTATATTATTATAAAAAGTATATTTAAAGGCAGTTAGGGTCAAAAAAATAAACAATATTTTCCAATACTTCAGTCTTAATTTTTCTCCACTGACTTTCTGCATCATCAACTAAATTATATGAAATTTATTGGGTTCCTGCTTTAGTTTGTTCTTGGGCTACACCCGGTCATGCTCAGTGCTACCTATTGGCTCTGTGCTCAAAAATCATTCCTGGTGTAGCTCAGAGGGCCATATGTGGTACCTGGGATTGGACTTGGCTCAGCAGCATGCAAGGCAAGCAACCCTACCTTCATCCACTACAGAACCCTAAATTAAGTTTTTTTAATGGTATATTTTCTCTTTAAATTTTTATATCTGTCGAATAAAGTGAGATCAGAAATTCACAGGATCTCTATGTATCTAAACATTAAGATATTAAATATTTAAGGAACTTCAGAAAATACTAATATTTTAGAGAATATAGGCTAAATTATTTTTTAAGTGCTGTGGATTAATTTGGGTACAACCCCGAACTAAAACTAATGCTCTCTTATCCCACCAATTTACAGATTGGGAAGGTACCTCAAATGCCATATATAACTGGGCCTTAGGTAACTAAGGAAATTGAAATTCAAAGACAATGATAGTCTAAGTTGGAACTTATACATAGTGGAAAAATTGATCAAGAAGCCAGCCTTTGTACTCCTAATTATTTTCTTTGCATCAACGTAAGGATGTAAGATATTCAAATCATATTTCAGTAAAATTATATCACCTGGTATAACAGAATGTAACAGAATATAACAACAATGTGACACCAAACTTAGGAAAACTTAAGTGAACCTGATAGCTTCTTTGGGCACTTTGGTTAATTTTTTCTGTAATATTAAACTATCAACGACAACAGATACTATTTATTAAGGTGGCAAGAAATTGAAGTGGAAGTTAAAACATTAATATTAGATCTTTATATTCAGTATCAGTTATGTCATGCTTGTTTTTTACTGTACATTTTTGAAAGCAGTAATGCATGATATGCAAAAATTAATTAGCTCACCCTATACTACATGTTAGCAATAAATGGCCATTAATTTTCACCTAGTAGTTTTCGTGGTATAGGTTCTTCATGTTTGCCTATTGCTAGAGGGGTAAAGTATGTAAATTCATTTTATTAAAAAATAAAATAAAATCTGTTTTGTTGTCTGATGTGTGAAAACTTCAAATAGAATAAGATGCAGAGATACTTTTCTCTTGCTCTGTACTGCACAATTTCTGTGGTGCACTTTCTAATTTTGAAAATTGTGGGAATTGGAACACTATGGGTTTTTCCTACCTCTAGAGGCATATGTATCTCCATGTGTTTATGTGTATATATAAAATATACATTTCAAATAAATTTCACATATTATACACAACTTCTATGAAACATGAGTCCTAAAGACTGACAACAAAATCATTAGATCTGTGAGTTATAGTTCTGTGAAATCAATAAAGACTGACATTGAAAATTGAACAGGGTTCTCTGTAGCATTCTTGAAGAATTTAAAATATGTAAGTTATGCTATTGCTTTTACTGAATTCTTTAAATCGAATTAGCTGGTAACCATAATAAAGTTACTATTTTCAAACTGATTCCAATAAGCATAATTTATTGGCTTTTATCCAACTGGATATAGAAATACTAGAGTTTTAAACAAATGAGGCTTCATTTTCCCACCATTATTGATGATGCTAGGAAGTCTATTATTTATTAGTACTTCCAAGAAAGAAGTTGAAAAACAACAGTGACTTTATAATAAATTAGACCTATTGTTTTAATCACATTTCTGCTGAATAAAATATGAAGAAAATGCTACTAAGGCCTCTCCTTTTGTTCCAGCTTCACAATAACAATCTAATTTGTAGCCACCTGAATACTATAGTAAATTTCTTGATTATCATTAAGTTGGAAAATAAAATTGTATAGGTAATATGGTTTTATTAGGAACAAAATGTCAGCTAAGGGATACAATTAATTGAGGTATTAGTAATCACTAGAGATTCTCTACTGTTATTTTAGATAAAGTGATAAATTTGAGATTAGATTTAAATTATGTATTGAGGATAATATTCTCTTTTAATTTTTGGTACTGTGATAACTGATATTAAATACATTTTGTACAATTTTAACTCTATAAAATTTTAAATGTATTTTGTCCCCCAAATACTATTTTCAGAGCACCATAGGATAACTTCTTTCAATAAAGGAAGCTGGTTGCTGGGGAATATCAATCAAACTGGTTACTTTAGAGTCAACTATGATTTAAGGAATTGGAGATTATTAATTGAGCAATTAATCAGGAATCATGAGGTAAAGTGAATTTATTCATCAAAGATCTGCTTTTTTGTGAATTACTGCCATTTGAACTCTAACAAATCTTCTCTCTCTCTCTCTCTCTCTCTCTCTCTCTCTCTCTCTCTCTCTCTTTAACTGACTTCATAGGTTCTCTCTGTCAGTAATCGAGCAGGTTTGATTGATGATGCCTTCAGTCTAGCCAGGTATGTTCTCCTTTGGATCGCCACAATAAAACTTATTTTCATAAAACTTCCTCCATGAAGCTAAATGATATACAGGTTTTGCTTAATCTTTAAAAAATAATTTTATCTCAAGTTCATCATGTTGAATTACAAATTACAATCAATGGGCTAAATTCTTTGCTTGTTCATTTGTTTTTGCTTTTTGAGTCACACCCAGCGATGCACAGGGGTTACTCTTGGTTCATGCACTCAGGAATTACTCCTGGCCATGCTCGGGGACCATATGGGATGCTGGGAATCAAACCCAAGTCAGCCACGTGCAAGGCAAACACCCTACCCGCTGTGCTATCACTCCAGCCCCAAAGTGCTAAACTCTTGAGCAGCAGATGCCATAGGGTATTTCTGAGTCAAGATAATAATGATCAATTTTCACTGCAAGTACAATTTAACACTCTGGAGATTAATAATCTTGTCTCAATCTCATTAATTAACTCTACAAAATGACTACTGTGCCATAGTTAATGTTTAATGGAAAATACCTTCAAGCCTAAGTAATGTTTTCTTCCTCACATACCCTACTCTATCTTTAAAATTTCCTTTTGAATGTCATTCATTATGAAAAGTTTGTGCTATATAACAGAAATAAATATTCCATATATACCTTAAATATTTCAAGGTAAAGTTGTTCTGGACAAGCTATATGTTAATCTTATAATCAATAATATAGCATTAGCCCTCGATGTTCTAGTTATAGTAGTATTTATGTTTTTTACATAATTAGATTTATAATGTTAAATGTGTAGTCCTTTAATGTTAATATATTAGTCCTTTTAATAGTAACTGGATGAACTAACAATCACAAAACCAAGATATATATTCAATTTTGAGATATAATAATACTAATCTCAGCTCTGGTTAATATTTTAATCATTATAAAATATCTGAAATTAAGATATGGTAATTCTCTTTATTCACCTGATTATTTGTATAGTTTACCATATTTCCTCTATGATAATTTTATGAAACTAGTTATACATGTAAGTGTCAACACAAAGAGTTAATGGTCTTTGTGGTATTTTTTTACACAGGACCTAATATTTTTACAACTTGAATATTTAATCACATTTTAATTATCTTCCAAGGTTAAAAATCATATTACACCCTGCAGCATTCTAACCATCAAAACTATTGAATTTAAATATATGTCTTGATAATTAGAAAAGGACAGAGTTTGGGATCACATAGCAGAGTTTATTTTGTGTAGAGATAATTGATATCAAGGGGACCACACATAAAGGGTGAAATACTACTTGCAGATGCTTTTTGTTGTTTTGATTTCTGGTTTGGGGGCTACAACTGTTAGTGCTCAGAGCTTACTCCTGGCTATGTGCTCAGTGATCAATCCTGTTGGGCTCCGGGGACCATATGTGGTGTCAGGAATAGAACCTGTGTCAGCCATTTGCAAGCATATGTCCTACCATTTGTACTATTGCTTTATCCCTAGATGCTTTTTTTCTTTCTATGTGCTATTCTATTAAAAAAGAAAAACACAGACTCAAAATCTGACTTTTATTGCTTTCCTCATCTTGAAAGGAGCCAGCAACTTTACTAATATTTTCTCTTACTGATGAGTGATTCTGTATCAGTACTTCATTCTAACCTGACATGTAGAGTTCCTGGCATAAAGTTGACCATTAACTTAATGGCAAATCTAAGGACAATTTATCAGCAAGGAAATGTCTAATAAAATTTTGCGGGTGAATGGACCTCTATAATGAGAACCAAGATCTACATCCAGCAAAGATAAATAAATGGGATCTCATCCATAAAATAGTATTATTTTATTGGATGACTTCTTGGGCAAAACTTCAGAAATAACAATGGTAGAGCACAGTCTACTGATATAGTAATATGTAGAGATAATGATTACGTTTTAGCTTTTGCTCTGCACTGAGACATGAAGATATTGAAGAAAGTGTTAGATATGCTGTGAAAATTATTTTTACAGAAATTTAGACTACAGAAATCTAGCAAGAGTTACCTTAATGTGATATTGCACAGAGATAAGCAGGAGAAAGAAAATAGTAGATGCAAAGTGAGAGTATAAGGAGAAATTGGGAAGGAAAAAATTGACTTGTATCTTCATGTAGCAAGTGTTAAACACTTAGAAGGTTCAAGGCACAGTTATGTTTTACTCATAATAATTTGATTCTCATAGAAGCTTTATGAAATATGTACATATATGTTACTATTATTTTCACTTTATAGTTAAAGATATAGTGAATTAGATAAGCCATACTTAACATTATATAGCTAGTATTTGACAGGGCAAATTAAAATATCAGCACTTCCCTAGTTAGCCTGGCAAGAAATACAAACATATATATATATACACACATATATATATACATATATATGTACATACACATCTCTCTAGATAGATAGATAGATAGATAGATAGATAGATAGATAGATAGATAGATAGTGACAGGCTGGAGCGATAGCACAACATGTAGGGCATTTGCCTTGCAGGAGGCCAACCCAGGTTTGATTCCTCCGCCCCTCTCAGAGAGCCTGGCAAGATACGGAAAGTATCTCACCCGCGTGGCAAAGCCTGGCAAGCTACCCGTGACTTATTCAATATGTCAAAAACAGTAACACAAAGTATCACAATTTGTTATGAGATGTTACTGGTGCCCACTGGAGCAAATCCAAGAACAATGGCAGGACAGTGCTATAGTGCTATACATCGTGACATACAATATAGAAAAGTCAAGGGAAAGTATTATAGTATTTCATATCAATTTTTTTGGGCTTGAAATGACCAAAAGGCAAATAAACAGAGATTGAAAGGAAGGATTATTTTGTCTCATTTGCATTAAATGAAAGGAATTTTGGAATTTTTATAGGAATACTGTGTTTAGTGTGTTTAGTGTTAGTGGATTATGCCTCCCACAAAATTATTTTTTTTCCTTCAGATGGATTAGTGCTTTCAATTCAGTTTGGCAGCCTTAAAAGTTTGAAGTAAGCATGTTCAGTTTCTTTAGATAGGAAAGTATATGAAAGTCAGTAAATAGATTTTGAAATTTGATTTAGTGATCATTGGAATACTTTCTTCTTATTATGCAGATGAATTATATCAAAGTTTATACAAATTCAGACATTTACATGAAATTATTTTTGATATACCATTGTATTCTAGTGAGTAATTTTCAGTTCTGTTATCAATTGTATCTACGTACTTGGAATTTTCTGAATATATTATACTCTCTTTGACTTCTTTAAAGTAGAAAATAAAATGATAGTAAATATTTATTTAAATATATGTTCTAGGTACTATAATGAGGCTTTTAAGAATGAATTCCAATATTCTTAGTAAGCAAATGGAATGGAATTTGTTATTTTAGCCATTTTATAGTCAAGAAATGGTGTTTTAGAACAGCTAAGTCTCTTTGCTCACGTTGCAGTGCTTTTAAATGACTGCTTTTTGTAGCATTTAACACCCCAAAGTAGCATATTTTACCTTGAATTCATAGCTTTGCTTGTTTTTTTTTTCCACTCTGGAGAAGCCTGCATTTTCTCTTGAACACTTATTTCCTCCTTATCTCCTCTTAAGTAAATTTTGCTCAATAAACTCTCTTGATTCACACACACACACACACACACACACACACACAAATCACTTGTCTGCCAATCAGAATGAATACCCATTAAAAAATTGTTTCTCGTGCCCACCCCTTTTTGTTGATAATATAATTATTACCATAAAAATAATTATCTATATGGTCCCCTGAGCACCTCCAGGAGTAATTTCTGAGTTCAGAGCAAGGAGTAACTGCTGTGCATTGCCAAGTGTGACCCAAAAAAGAAAATAATAATAATAATAATAATAATAATGATTATTATTATTACTTACCTTCTTGCCTGGTCTTTTCTGTCCTCCTCATAAAAGTAAAGGGAGTTACTGTGGGCCCCAATCAGAGCCGTTGTTGTCTTAATGCTTGTCTAGTTACTTTTTCAATAGCCCTGTTGATATTTGAAGATCTTGAGGACAAGGTTTTCTTTTCTTTTTTAATGATTCACTCTCCCTTTCTCTCTCTTCCTGTCTCTCCCCCTCTCTCTCCTTTCCCTCTGACCCTGTTTCTCCCCCTCTCTCCCTCTCTCCACCTCTCTCTCCCACTCTCCTCTCTCTCTCTCCCCCCATCTCCTTCTCTCCCTCTCTCTCCTTCTCTCTCTCTCCAACCCCCCCTTATTGACATGATGGTTTGCAATACAGGTACTGAGAGGCTGAGAGGTTGTCATGTATTAAATGTATTAAAGGTATAATTTTCTTTAACATTAATACATTTATAACCTTATAATTTCAATCCTACTTACTTAAAAACAACCTCTTACATATTCATAGATTTCTAATGATATCTCCATTTTAATGTAAATGCTCATGTTTTATAGAAATGGTCAAATTATTTTTATGATGGCACTATATTGATGTAATTAGTTCACTTTTATAATTTGTTGTGATTGAAAGAATTTCATTGTTCTTATTTAAAGGAATAATATATACATATATATCTCTATATTCTCTTTAATACAAATTTTGAAATATATTTCACAAGGCCTGTTTTAACATCCTGCTGAGATTATGATTGATGTCCTTGAATTTATAAATCAATTTTTAAAGAACTAGTATTTTCAGCTATGAGCTTTTGATACAAAACATTATTTATCCCCATTTATTCAGGTCCCTAAGTCAAGCTTTATGATATTATGTACATGGATTCTGTTAATGTTATATTGCTTTCTCTGTTTTCAAAGAAAATGGCACTTTCTGACTTTAAATATTCTAATTTTCATTGTTTGTATATAAAAAATCAGTCCATTGATTTTTTTGTAAATGTAATGTGTTATGATTTCATCTAAAATTAGTGACTAAAATGTTTATGTATATTTTTGTTGTTCAGTTTAGGTTGTTTTCCTTTTTTGATAAAGCACTGTTAGAATTGGAGACATAAAAATGAACA